CCAGGAGAAGCTGAACTTGTGTGAAAGAACAAATGAGGCGCTGAGCGCAGAGAAAGCCCACCTGGAGCAGCTGCTGAAGAAAGCAGAGGAGCAACAGGAGGGGCTGCAGGCAGAGCTGAGGATGCTGGCAGAGGAGAAGGCAGAAACCCAAGAGAAACTCATTGAGGTGAGACCAAAAACCTGGTGCTTTCTGGGTGGGCTTTTGGCTGCTTGGCTCAGTGAAGCTGTATCTGTTGGATTCTGCAGTGTTTTTTGTCAAGGAGACACTTGGTAGCGCTGGGGGTCAGGCGGCGTTGTTTACTTCCTTCTGGAAGCGTGTTGATGGCTTGCAGAGCTGTTGTGCAATTCTCTGGGTCGTCCTCTGCTTCTACAGATTCCTTTAATCCACCTGTCTGTGTTGGCCTCTTTTTTGGCTTTTGATAAGCTGCAGAGAGGTGATTTGCCTTGCCCACGAATCTGCGTGAGGCTACTACTCTCACATGCGTCGAAAGAAGCAAACAGGGTAGCTCTTCACCCATTTTCTGAGGCCAAAAACCCCCGGGGCTGCATGTTTCTATTTATGCTTTTTGTTGTGAAGTCTGCAACTTTCCAGGCTCGGCTTGTTGGGGCCTAGAGGGCGGGACAAAGCGGCGAGTCAGTGTCTGCTGTCTTGTACTGCTAAGAACGGGAATGACATCCTGCAATTGTTGAAACTGTATTTTAAGATACACGTGCAACATTGTGGTTGGAAACCTGCCTAGGGGAAAAGGACCTGGGAGCGACGGTCGACAGCTGGCTGAATATGAGCCAGCAGTGTGCCCAGGTGGCCCAGAAGGCCAGTAGCATCCTGGCTTGTATCAGAAATAGTGTGGCCAGCAGGACGAGGGAAGTGATTGTCCCCCTGTACTCGGCACTGGCAGCGTGGCACCTCAAATACTGTCTTCAGTTTTGGGCCCCTCACTAGAAGTAAGACATTGAGGTGACTAAGCATGTCCCAAGAAGAGCAATGAGGCTGGTGAAGGGTCTAGAGAACAAGTCTTATGAGGAGCGGCTGAGGAAACTGGGGTTGTTTAGCCTGGAGAAAAGGAGGCTGAGGGGAGACCTTATTGCTCTCTACAACTACCCAAAAGGAGGTTGTAGCAAGGTGGGTGTTGGTAACTTTTCCCGAGTAACAAGTGATAGGATGAGAGTCTACGGCCTCAGGTTGCACCAGGAGAGATATAGATTGGATATTTGGAAATATTTCTTCACTGAAAAGGTTATCAAGCATTGGAACAGGCTGTCCAGGGAAGTGGTTGAGTCAGCATCCTTGGAGGTGTTTAAAAGATGCATATATGTGGTGCTTAGGGACATGGTTTAGCGGTGAACTTGGCAGTGTTAGGTTTATGGTTGGACTCAATGATCTTAAAGGCCTTTTCCAACCTAAATGATTCTACGATTGTATGAATTATTAGAGTCTCTATAGGCTTTGAAGAAGATGAGAAATAGGTGATCATACAGGACTTCACTCTGGACTAATGGATTTTGGTACCCTGGAAAACAGTGTGGGAGAATCATGTCATTGGAGGAGACTAGGGAGTTTGTCATCATTTCAGTGTCAGTTTCATAATGTACAATCTTAGGTCTTATGGCATAACTTTGAGAGGAGAATTGTTTGTTTCTGAAGGTCTGTTCCCTGTTAGACAGTCTTAGTTTTGGAGTACGTGGTCTGTTTGGCAAATACCCATCAGAGGTGTATTGGCATCACTGCAGAAGCAAGCTGAAAAATCACGGTTAGTCTTCAGGCTTGAATGCCAGCAAGGTCTATTGGGCAACTTGTTTGTGTAAGACAAGTAAACAGTATTGTTGACACGAACTACTGTCCAAGTAGAGTCTACCATCTCTTTGGCCACACCAGCCGGACTTCCGTAAATCACTAAATGACACTGCTCACCACAAGGGCTGTTTCCCTGCCAAGGATCACCTCATTGCATCCAACTGCCGTACACACTGAAGTAGGTGTGTGGTGGTGTTCTGCGACAAGGTGACGCTTTGATGTTGGTTTTTCTTCTTCTAGAAGGAGAAACCATGTGTATTTCCACTTTGTTCGGCGAGCAAAGTTGCTCTTGCTCAACGGTTCCTGAAAATTCCCAGCACTGGAATAGATTCTGATAGAATTTTAGTTTGCAAGGTGGCAGTTGTGGAAGATGTGGTATTTTTGCGTGAAAAGATGTGGTCTGGGGGTGTACGTTTGTCCTGAAGGGGCCGTCTGGTCCCAGGCAACCCAGCAGGGCCTTACACATCGCTTTCAGGTTAACAGCCCTAGTGCCTTTTGGCAGCCCAGGGTGTTAGGGCGGCACGAAGCAGATGCTCTTAAACTTTCAGGCCAGAGTACCGGAGCTCTTTCTCCTCTAGCTGATTCAGAAGTGGCGCTGGCTGGCTCTGCACAGAACTCCAGAGAAGGGACTCTAACTGTATTTTGTCCCGCTTTCAGGTTCACCGCCAGCAAGAGTCAGCTAGCAGTGGTCTGGAGCAGTTGCGGCAGGAGTCCTCTCGCCAAGGACAAGCACTGGCCAACGTATCCAAAGAGAAGGAATTGCTGGCGCACGAGAAGGCTGCCTTAGAGGTGCGACTGGCAGCCACGGAGCGGGACAGACGAGGCCTTGCAGAGCAGCTGGCAGAGGCCAGGTAAAGGCAGGGGGGAGACCCTAGGCAGGAGATTATTTAATGTCTGTAATTATAGAGGTGATAATCATGACACGAGGGTTCATTGCATCCTGTATGCTTTTCAGCTATTTTCACCTTCCATGGACAGAAAATGGAGGAATCTCGAGAAAAAAAAAAAACCAAACCAAAAACCCAAACCAGTACAGCATGGTTTGAATGTTATTTTTCTGACAGCTAAAGCTAACAAAGCTCTCCTGAGCCTGGGGCTCATGTTTATGCCCCCTTGCACGTTCCTGTGTGAAGTCCAAAGCAAGCCAGCGTAATTCCTCAGTATCTGGTACCTTGGCTCTGCATTGAGTAGTAATTAAACCATGCAGATGTTTACTGAAACCCAAAGCTTCTCTCTGGTTTCGGTTTCTCGTTCTGCGCGTTTGAACTTGGATCTTTCCTTATCAAGTAGTTTGACAGGGGATCTTCAGAATTCAAGTCTATTACGTACGGACATTGCGAGTAGGACACTGCCATTTAGGGTGAAGCTAGAGGCTCGTGCTGAAAATCTTGAGGGCCTACTGTTTCTAGTCTAACTCTTGTTACCTGTGGTGCAGGACCTAGAGTTGGTTACACCAGCAGCAGGGAAGCCTCTTTTGAATGCTCGCCAGTCTGCGGGAATTGTTGCCCATCATTGATGTGTGGGTCCGGTACTCCCTACCACGTGCTGTTTTGAGATAGACATCATGGAGGAGTTTATGCAGGGCAGGAACAAGATTTTGTCCTTCTGCTGGATCAGGTTTCTAAGATCACGTGTGACAAGTTCTGCTTTTAAAAAAAAAAAACAACCCCAAACTACCCAACGTATGGAGATGTTTGTCCTCCTCTCAGGTCTTTTTTAGAAGACTCCTGACCTTGCAGAGCTGTACAAATGCGAGATTGTTTGTCACGCTTCTTGACTTTGACGCCTTACCACTCCAGAGTATGTTGTTAGCAAGGCTGATAAACACCATTTAGACTCAGTCTGTTTCTTGAGAGCTGCTGCTGCTTCTGAGCTCCAGCTCCTCTTAGTTGATCCAGCTGAATTATGTTCTGTCAATTATTGGGCTGCAGCAACTATTCTTGCCAGATGTTGTTCTCAAGAGCCTGTTGTTGTCGTCACAGTTTTGGACTCTTATCTTCTCTGTTCTGTTTTAGAGACTGACTTTGATTTATCCTTAAAATGGAGCATATTTACTTTGGACTGCCAGACATTGGCGTAGTCAGAAATATGTGCTTGTTCTCCTTCTTGAAGATACATCCTCCATCGTCCATCAAAGCAGTGAAATCCTACTGTTGTGGGTCTTAGTGTTGTACCACTCGGGTGCCCCTTTACCCTGAAGGATGTTATCCTGGTTGCACGCCTGTTCTAGTGAGGCAGTGCTGTGTATGGTAGGAACCTGGCACACAGGACGCCGTGTTAGATCAGGGAGGCAACTTCAGCTCCTGGTTGCAGAGTCCTGTGTGTCATACGCAGCAGTTGGTTGAAGTCTATGGATGTAACAATTTGCCTCCGCAGTACTACAACTTCCATTTTAAAGAGCGGCAAGCCATTTGGGCTACTGCCTGCTTAGTTAGCAACGCTTAGAGAAAAGTAGCAAGTTTTTCTCGCGAACTTCCAAGAGTTTAAACTGAAGGCTACCTGTCTCTCCTTTCAGGTAGTCCTTGTTCAGGTAAAATCTAGTTCAGATTTCTTACAAATGCTGCTTACAAGCATGAGCTTTTACTGTATCATCTGATGTATTGCTTTAGTCCCTTTGAAATATAGGGAGTCTGGAAGATCACCTCCCTGTACGTACACTACGAACAGCATCAAAAAGTCACGAGTCAGCCAGGGAGATGCTCTTACTCTGCGCCCCTGCAGAGCAACCTGGAAGTGACGATGAGCAAAGGGCTGTGAGCAGAGGCTGGGCTTTTGCTTGCTGGCACAGACTTTGTGAGCACAGCTACCCGTGCGTCATAGATCAGACAATAGCAATTTAAGATTTGGCTATGGAGATCAAACTCGGCTGGGCTTTCTGTGTTACGCTAGGTCATAAGTAAAGCCTGGGCATTCCCTCGGAGGGGCCTGCATTGCTCTTTTAAATGGCAGAAATATGCCTTCTGTATACCAGTTTCCATGCAACCCATTTTCCGAACTGAGGGGTAGGGATCTTGAACCAGCTCCTACTGGACTAACTCCCTGTGGGCGTCAGGAGCAAGAAACTCATTTCTCTCCGTATTGGCGTCTTGTAGGGCCGGGAGGGAGACCCTGGAATCCAGCCTGCTTGAGGCTCAGCAGCGCTTATGTCAGCTGGAGATCGCCAGGAGTCAGCTTGAAATCCAACTTCAGACAGTCAGGCAGGCCAAGGAGGTGATACAAGGTGAGAGCCTCATGTGCTTTGTTTCTGGTGACCCCCCTGCCTAGGGAGGATGGTATAAAAATAGCTCTCCGTCTGCAGTGCTTCTAAGGAGTGAAGGAGCTGGGGACAGATCCCTCCTACACTGAAATTCAAATGGCTTACGGTTAGTGAAGTCAGAACCGCTGTTTGTGTAGGCCCTGAATCTTGCCATTTGTCACGTTTGCAGGGGAAGCGAAGTGCCTTCAATGTGAGCTGGAAGCAGAGAGATCTCTCATGAAGCAGGAACGGGAAAACATGGCGCAACAGCTCTTGCGGGCAGAAGAGCAGTATAACGATACCCTCAAACTTCGGGAAACGGATCACGAAGTGGAAATAAACAAGCTCCTGCAAGAGCTGGTAGGAAACAATATGCTTCTGAAGTCTTGAGGCAAGCTTTGTGGGCTGGCTTTAGAAGAATAATAGCCTGAGCGTGTGAAATGGCAGCAAGCGTCTGTCATAGGCCACGCGTTGCTAGGCCAGGCAGCAGAGCCAAGAGCTCGCACTTGAAAGCACGTGAAGACCTACAGGACTATGCCGGGACAGTAAATGCAAGCCACGGATTCCGTGTGGGCCTAAGACGAGTTGAGCAGAAGGTTGGGTGGTCCCCACCCAAGGCATGGCAGTAAAGGGGTAGGATCTTACCAGACTCCTGTCTACCATGAAGTAGACTCCTAACTTTCCTGCCAACTGCAGTCGTGGGAACTTTGTTCCTTTCTTTCTGTCCTTTCACGGTTGACAGAGGTGTTATCTTTGGGCTTAAAGCATACAGAACAGATGGAACAGCCCCTCGTTCCTGGGCTTGAACTTGAGTTCGTGGCCCATCTTGTGACTAGGGCATCGGGGTGCTGGCCTCTTTCTCACCCTGCAGTCCATCTGCATCTTTTCCTCGATGAGAATGGAGTTGAGCTTTGAAAATAGAGACTCTGAGACTAGAGGGAAATCCCGTAGGCGAGAGGTGCTAGGAAACAGGCAGCCGCCAGAGAGGGGAAGGTAACATCTCCTTTTCTTAATAGTTGGACTCAATGATCTTAAAGGTCTTTTGCAACCTAAAGGATTCTATGATTCTTCCACCTGCTGACCCTCCTATTAAGTTCCTTGATAGGACATGATTTATGGGGGGCACAAAGCCACTACTGTGCACTCTTGAGATGGGGGCTTGTGGGAAGTATGAAGCTTCACATTTTTTCTTGAGGAGCTTGGCTGTGACTCCATCTTGAAGCCTTTTTCTCCCCTCATCAGGCAAGCGAGCGGGAAGGGCACCATTCAGAACTGCAAGAGATGCTGCAGAAATGGGAAAAGGAGAAGGCAGAGACAGAAGGGGAGCACGAGAAGAAGCTGTTTGATATGAAGCAGAAAGTTGCTACCATGGAAGCTGAACAAGAAAAGGAACGAACCAGAGTTGAAAAAGCCAAGCAAGAGGTAAAGACTGAAAGGAGAATTGGTGTGGTTTTTTGCAAGGCTAGAGCTGTGGGAGATGGCTGGGTATCAGGCTGTGTGGAGCATGTCTTAGATGTTTTCTACATTGAATTTGGTGACGTGAAAGGTGAGCAGGACTATCTTTGGGACTAGGAATGAGTCCTCTTATAGGAAGCCAGGCAGAAATGTCACCTTTCATTTTAGATTTTTTTGCTGCTATTGTGTTCTGGTTTTTTTAAGACTTACCTCAGAGTATCTACACAGTTCTCTGAATGGTCCTCTTTTGATGTTTACTTAACTCCATTAAAGACCAAACTGAGTTTGTAGGACTGAATCCCCACAAGGATGGGTTTTTTGTCTGGGAGGCATAGGGGGTTGTGGCAGGATTGTTGACAAAAGAAAAATCTTTTTAAAGACTTCTCTGAAATATTTCTGAGCAGTCAAACAGAGGTGTATTCTGGGCTGTGTTTGAAGTCACTTGCTGGTAAGCTATTTTGTGCCCAGATCCCCTTGCCGAAGCAACCCTGTTATACGCTGACAGTCTTCCTTGTGTCCTACCCAAAGTCCTCTTTATGCAGACTGCCTAGGGACAGCAGTACCCCCAATTGTGTCTAGAGTTACTGAAATGACAGGGCAGTGCTCAGAGATGACAGTGTGTCCCTGTAATGTCAGTACTTTCCTAAAGTCTACTGAATACCTTAAAACTGAAGTAATTTTCACCAAACCTTACTTAGAATACATGAGTTTTCTGAAGGAACTGCTAGCTTCAGCCCTCTGGCAGTCTTGTGTTTTCTCTACTGCCAACTAGGTGCAAAAGTTGCTAGACAAACAGGACACAGCAGAAGACGAGGGATACCCTCACCAGCAAAGTGAGACACTTGAGAAATGACACACTTTTTCCTGTTAGACAACCAAGAGTTTGTTGGAGATTCAATCACAGATGGACCGTGGATGGACCATGTTTATACTGCCAGTCTCTCTTAGGAAGCTGTGTTTCCAAGCTGGCAGATAATGACCTAGGAGACCAGCAGCATAGTGCTTTGAGAATGCGTTACACCACCAGTCTTTGAGCCTTGCCACACGAATTTTGTATGGGAAGTTTAAACCTGTCTTCTCTTTATTTCTGTGCAGGTCCTGCTAGAAAAAGAGAGTGAGAAGGATGCTTTATTAGAGACACTACTCCAAACTCAGGGAGAGTTAAGAGAAGCCTGCCAGCAGCTAGAGCAGCTCAGGCATGAGGTGAAAGAGCAGCAAGAGAATGGGCAGGTAAGTCTGACTAATAGGGTAGGCTGAAAGAACAGGCAGCTGGCAATTGGCTGTAAGCTGAGAGAGAGGCTGAGAGCACCAGGTAACAGAGTGAAGAGCAGTAAAAAGGACATAAAACATGAGTCCTGGGACTTGAGGAGACAAGGGCTATTGCAGGCACTGAAAGGACAGAGCCTGGTAAGCTCCAGAGATCAGCGATAGGAAGGAAGGGTTACAGTGGAAGCAGGGCTGGGTAGAAAAGCAGAAAGAAGTGGCTGAATGAATGTGATTTTTGAGACAGAAAGAGGAAAAAGCTGAACCTGATGGCAGGTCCCAGTAATTTGCTCCCCATTTGTGTTTACAGAACATCACAGAAAAGCTGCAAGCAGAGCTGCAGGAAACTCAGGGTAAGATCAAGACAGTGGAAAAGAGGCACAAGGAAGAAATCAAAACCCTCAAAGAGGAAATGAATATCCTTCTTCAGCAGAGGGATGTTCTACAAAAACAGGTGACTGAAACAGCAATAAGATACTCCAGTCATCAAACAGGTGGTCTCTCCCCTTCTTGCCTTTCCATTGCAGTGCAGGCTGAAGGGGTAATCCCTCTGACTGCCATCATACTGTGGTCTCCATCTCAGCTGGTCTGAAGGAGACTTACTAGTCAGCTGAATCTCAGCTGCTGCCCTGCACATAGGGGCTAGTCCTTTTGCCTGTTTGCCAGCAATCATCAAAATGGATTTCTGCTGGCCTGTTACTGCTAGCCTTGTTTTTTAAGGTGGTTTTTCGGATGAACATGGTGACCCACGTTAGATTTTTAAACAAGTCAGCTGTATCCATTCTGAATCTGGTACTCTCGTGATTGGGTTAAATTTAAAGTTGTTCTTTCCCTTTCCTCACAGTATATGATATGGCTGACAGCGACAAGCTGTAGTCTTTGACTGCTTTGTTATGTTTTACTTGAGGTGGAAGAGTTGACATCTCAGCTAGCAGCCTCTGAAGATTCCCAGCAAGTGACTGGCCGCAAAGCTCAGCAAGATCTGAGTGAGGCTCAGGAACTGTCAAGGCAAAAGGTGCTGGAGGTTGTGCACCTCCAGAAAATCCTGGAGGAGAAGAGTAGTCAATGGGAGGAGGTACAACATCAGAACAAAGAGCTGCAAGTGCGTCTGCGGTCATTGGAGGGGGAAAGGAGTCAATGGGAAGAAGTGGAGCGTCACAACACAGAATTTCAGGCTTTGTTGAAGGTCCTAGAGGGTGAAAAAGACAGGTAAATGAAAACCTGTGAGACTCTCCGTTCTGTTTAATGGATTCCCTCTTTCAGATCTTTGCATATAGAAATAGCTCTGGAAGTATTTCCTAAAAAGCAGAGTTCTGAACTATCCATGCAGATGTGTTTCATTTTCTTTTCTTTTAATCCTTCAGTTACAGTTATTCTGAAGACAATGGCTTTTGGAGTAGTCCTTTCCTTAAAAGGATGTGTTCTTTTCTTAGGTTGGCATGTTAATACTTTTAAATGAAACTTTCAGGGGTTTCAAACCTGAAACACACCAAAGGAGGCAGGACGAGCTGCAGTATAATGAGCTAGATAAATCCATCATCTCCACCTTGGGTCCAGTAAACTTTAAACATTTGGGATCTGTATCAGTCTTCCATCCTGATACCTTTGGTTGGCAGAAACCATCTTAAAACCATGATTTTGAACTAAGCCAGATTCCTCTCTGAGGCACCCCAGAAACAAGAATGTTTCTTATTGCCATCTGTTTCCTTGTTCCTCAAAAAATCCCAACAGGTGTCTGGAGGGGCTTGAGCAGGGTCCTTGCCAGCCCCAACAGTTACAGACGTTACTGACTGTCCAAGAAATGCAAGAAAGAAGAGAAGGGGTAGGTAGGCTACTTTACCTGGGAAAGTCCTGCCAGTCTTCAATGTGTATCCTCATTGATGAAGAGAAATAAAAGGCAGTGCACTCTCGCTTCCCCTGTGAGGGATCCTGCATCTTATATAAAGATCTGAGTATTTCCTCCAAGCCTCCATTACCACTTCTGGTGTTGGCCTTCATTTCTCTAGCTGAAAGTAATATGGGTGGTGGCAAGTCTTATGAAACTCCCCAAAGATCACCTTGGTGTCATTTGCTGCTGTTCCTACCAGGAGATGTGAGCTAGGGGAAGAAAATGTGTCTTCATTATTGACAAAACCTCTCCATTGGAGTCTCATTAGTCAAAAGAAAAATTTTCCTCTTTCTTAATGTCTTCATTTCAAGACTTTGTTATGTTCATATTCACATTCCCATCTCAAAAAAGATTGGGTATTTAGCCAGTAGTTCACCTTTCTTCTGTGGAAAAAAGTGTAGTGGGCACATGCTTGGGTGTGACTGCCAGCCTGGCTTAGGACTGGACAAGCAGCCTAGTTGTTTAGACAAACCTCAGCAGACAAAGCAATTTTCCCCTTGGTGGTGGACGTCCTAGGAGTTTATTAAATGTTACACCATGCAGTAATGAGTTGCATGCTCTCCCTTTCAGGCTGACTCTGTCTCTGGAAGAGAAAGAACTAAGCCTCAGAACCCTGGAAGAAAACAACCTTGCTCAGCACAACGAAGTGTCTCAGCTTCTTTCTGCTATTCACCAGGCCCAGCAGCTTCATTCAGACCACAGAAGAGAAATACAAGAGCTCAACAACCAGGTGACCTATGCACTAGCATCCTCTTCTCCAGGGACATAGAATACCACCTTCAGCTTGTAGGCCCCAACTTGTTTCCCCTCCCAACAATGTACACTTCTTCTGTATTCTGCCCAGAGACTTTGCACATTGAGGTGAAGGCTGGATCTGCTATGTTCTGCCTATGTTTTCCCCTATTTTCTCATGGTTCATGGCATTAAATCTCTGAGGAGAAACAGAAGACTCCTTGGAGTTTCTCAGTATCTCTGTTACAAGTGTTGTCCGAGATGGTGTTTCTACCTCTGTTGGGCACTGAGCAATCTTGTGAAACAGAAGTGGTTATCGCAGTCTGTGGAAGGCACTTCCATCTCAGCAGTTCCTCTGGCATTTTGGAGATAATAAAGGATGCCGATTGTCTCCCCTTTACTTCTACTCCCAAGCCTCCCTGGCAGACCTGCTTGATCTGCCACCTCCCCCTGCCAGCCATCCACTCTCACCCTCACACACACACACGTGCGCATGCGCGCGCACACATACACAGAGAACTTAATTTCTGAGGTTGGAAAGCATGAAAATCTGACAGTTCAACCGTTCCTTTGGGGATGGGGAAACTTCCTTTTGGCCCCTTAGCTTCCAGATACCTGTTTCTAGCTTATTTTTCTCAGTTTGAATCTTTGGCTTTGTGCCTTCGGTTTCCAGTGTGTTTTTTGCTTGAAGTAATCTCTCCTTCATTCCTTCCTTTACTTCCTGCTCTGCTGCCTCAGTAGCAGCCCTGTCCCTGAGGCTCTGTGCATCTGTGTTATAGATACAGTCACTGCAGGAAGTAGTGCTGGAGAAAGAGGCTGGCCTGACAACTCGAGAGAAGCAGCTGCTACAGGATCTGGAGGAGTCCCGAGCAGGTGAACGGTGCCTGAGGGACTCTTTGCACATGCTGGAGGCTGAGATGTCTGAGCTACGTTTGAGGCTTTGCAGCACAGAGAACAGAGCAAAGGCATTGGCGACAGAGTGTCAGCAGGCTAACAGTGCCCACTGTGAAGCCCGATCCCAGCTGGACAAGCTGCACTTGGTTCTCCAGCGTGTGATCTGTGATAGCAGAGACTTAGGCACTTGGAGTTCAGGCAAGTTGTGGGAGGCAGGGTTAACAAGTCTATAGAGCATGTATAGGAGAGCAGATGGAGGGAGGGGTGGTTCTTTGTAATCCTGATATGATAGACTCATCCTTTCAGTTTAGGCTGACTCAAGCCTTGGGAAGTCTTGAAAGCCTGACATCCCTGCAGAGAGACAAGTCCATGTTTGTATGTGCAGAAATGAGCAGCATCATAATGAAATAGGGCACAAGTCATGTCAAGTCATAGGGCATGTGCATTCTTCCTTGGGGCAGTGCTGACGTTAGTGGTCATCAAAATAACGTTAGCCTGTGACACATGTCTTGCTGTAACGTGAGCTCTAGGATGATGTCAAAGGCACTGCCACCTTCTCTTGTGTATAAAGAAGCCTTGTTTGTTGGACACCCTTCAATTAAAGCTTGAAACAGAATGGCTTCTCTCTTCAGAACAGGGTGATGTCTGGGGCCTAACTGTTTCTCAGGCCAGGGACCTTCCTGCAGAGCTCACAGTGGACAGAGTGGCAGCAGCCCTACAAGACCTGTGTCAGCACCTGAAGCAGACTCAGCAAGCTCTGGTAATGTGTGTCTAGTGCACCCAGAAATCCTGTCCCTTTGCTGGGCTGAACTGACAAGCAGAGTGCCAAAGCCAGAATGGGTGTAAATTCTTGTAGGCCGGGTTGGCTTGCTGCCATGGGGAGAAAGGAGAATCGTGATCACATCTACCATTACTGTCTGATTGCCCCCTGCCACCTTGGCTATTTCTGCCTTAGTGTTTGTACCTCTTTGTCTCCTGCTAGTAGTGGCTCTGTGAGGTGATGCTTGTCTTCTTACCTCTTCCAGAATGATGCAAGGAAGAAGACACAGGACTTGGAGCTGGAGCTGAGCAACAGGCAAGCTGAGAGGGACCATTTCAGTGCCCACAATCAAGAGCTGCAGAAACAGTTGGCTCAAAGCCAGGAAGGTACAGCTTCTCCTTTCTGACCCACTGACCCCATCCTGTCTCACCAGCGGGGATCTCCGATGCCATGCAGAGAAAAAGTGCAGTGCCTGGAGATGGGAAGAGGAGAAAAACAACAAGCATCTATAGAACTACCAGTCAAAGCTTTTTATAGAGAAAGATCCAGTGGATGGCAGTGCACCTAGCTGTGCTACTGGTGGTAATGTGCAGCGGTGGTGCCTTTCAGGTCACATGTCACTGCTAAGTAGGTGTAGCTTTATGCCTCACAGCATCCTTCTCTGTATGCTCTTTAAAAGCACCAGCATGCAAAAAGCCTTGTCTTTATGGACTTCTTTTTCCTCTTACATGGCAGATTGACAGAGCAGTAGTTCAGTGTTGGGCTCCTGTGTTATTGCATCCCTTTTGCAGCTGCTTTTCTGAGTTCTCTGATACCTAGTGCTTCTGCATCCTTCTTACCTGTTTTCTTGCTGATACTGATTTGGTGTCTGAGCCCACAGCCATAGCAAACACAATTTCTTACTTCCCTAGCCACTTCTTACTTAGGCCTTTGGTAACACGTTCACGTTGGGTTTATCCATCAACTGTTTTTCACATGTAATTAGTCACCTCTTCTAATCTCCAGGCCATCCCAGAGCCTGCAGGGCTATTGGCCTGTATGTATCATAGCTGGGCAGACATCCCTGCTGCTTTCTCTGTCATTGTTTTCCCACTCTCCACATCAGAATTGCTTTTTCATCTCATTGTCTTGTTTGCCTTGTCTCAGACTACAGGAACAGGGAAGTGTGGGCATGGCTCATTGCCTCCCCCACAGGCTGTTGCCTGCTCATGTACTGCCTTTACCTGTTCAGTATTTGTTCATGTTCCCTCTCTGACATGGAACAGCTGATCATTTTTCAGACTCTTTACAGGAGAGTTTTCCAGGCCTTAGTTCATCACTTTTTCTGGAACATCTGTAGTTTTTACTATATATGTTACATATGATAACAGCTTATATACTTGAAATGCTGCCATTGGATGGATCCTGCTTGTCCCACTATTCAGTTTTTCCCCTCTTTAGTTCCTGTCTGTTAGTTCAATCTATTATTTTAGTTTTAGTTCTGTCTATCGGTAGTCCTTCTTGCTTCAGGTCTTGGTAATGGTGTGATGCTCAGTTGTTCTTGCCTTGCTGTTGTCCTAGTATCACTGAATACTTCCTTTCTTCTTTTTTCTGCCAGTCCACAACATATTCCCCTAGCATTTTTTTGGACAAATACCAAAGTGGATCTCCAAGCACAACACTGACTTCTGGGTTTTTTTTCTAATGTCTCTTAAGTCTTCCTGGTCAATTAACTCTGTCTTATTCAGTCTTCACTTTTGCTGCTTCTTCCTTTTCCTTTAGGACACTAGATCTGACTCTCACCTACTGTCTTTGTCCTTGTTTCATCAATGTCGGTTCTACCTGCTTCTAACCTCGTGGGTGCCCTTAGGCCTGGCCTTTCAACAAGCAGAAGAGCAAACACGTTTTCATATTCTTCTGAACCTTGCCACTTCCTTTTTTCTCTGCCTGGAATTTTCCTTTATTTATGTCTGCTTTGAAAGTCCTTGTGGACTTAGGGCCTGGAAAACACAGACAGGCAGATAAGAAAATGATGTTTTCTCTGTAGAATGCAGATCACTTTGGTTTTGCTTTGCTTTTCACATTCTCCTTCACCTTTACTGCTGTAGAGACACAGATGGCAGAACACAAGAAGAACTCTCTACAAGCTGCCTTGCAGGAAGAGGCCGCTGCTCTAAAGGAGGAGGCTATGACTCTACATCAAGAGGTGGCATCTTTGGAAAGGAAACTTGAGAGCACTGAGAAGCAAAGAAGGGATGTCCTGGTGAGGCTGGCAGGTGCCATGAAGGGCCATTTTTTACATATTTTTTTGTCTTCTGTTAATTCTAGGGAGTAGCTTTTTACAGTGGAGAGCTGGTTTTGGGTCGTCTTGTACAGGTTCAGTCGAAATCTGAGAATATATAGAGTACGCAAATGCCGCCAAGTTCCCCTCATTTTCCCCTTCCTTCCACTCATCATTCCTTGTTACCCAGACTTTTGGTTCATGTAGCTGAATTAGCAGGGTTATCACCTTGGGTAAGAAAAGATAGTCCAGAAAGGAGAGATCGTTAAGATAACCAATATCACTGACTATGTGGAGAGACCACAGACCACTACAAGAGCAGAAGAATATTGCTTATACCAGTGGTTGTTTTTTGGTTTAAGTTTTCCAGCTGTGTTCTTCTGAATAAGCAGGAAAAGATGCCGTAGTGATATAAAACTCAGTTATGATTCAGGGTATTTATTTTCCTCAATTCTGAAGATTTCTGCCCTCGAAGCTTTAGTCAAAGTAATTTTCAAGCTTGTCTCCATTTACGCTGCATAGTTTGGGCAATTATTTGTGTCCAAATCCATGTTTAGATTTCTAAATATCTGAATCTGGAAGAAGGGGTGAGAAGACAAAGTTTGCTAATAGTAGAAAGCTGTTCAACATTGCCCATCTGAGAGCAGACAGTGGGGGAAAAAACAGAGAAATTTGAGAACCAAAAGTGCTGATCCAGATAAATATGTATGCCTGCAAGGGGAAAACTAGTTCTAATTTCAAACACGAAATGAAAGGCTGTGATCTGACCATTATTCCTTCAAGAGGACACAGTGGGGTTCTAGACAATGGTACCATGAAAAGTCTACACAGTAGAGGTAAAAAAAAAAAAACCCCAACCCCAAACCTGGGAAATCAAATGTTGGGGTTGTTCTCTCTTCCCTTCCTCCCTAATAGAACATCATCATGCCACTGCCTAAATCATGCTCAGTCTGGACTTTAAATCCTGGCTGCAGTTCTGACAGCTCCTCCCTAAAAGAACACACTAGAGCTAGAAGAGGTTCAGAGAAGGGCAAAAAGGAAGATGGAGCTGGCTGAGTAAGTGTCGTGGTTTAACCCCAGCCAGCAACTAAGCACCGCACAGCTGCTCACTCACTTCCCCCGACCCAGTGGGATGGGGGAGGGAATCGGGGGGAAAAAAAAAAAGTAAAACTAGTGGGTTGAGATAAAAACAGTTCAATAGAACAGAAAAGAAGAAACTAATAATTATAATGGTAACACTAATAAAATGACAATAGTAATAATAACAGGACTGGAATATGCAAGTGATGCACAATGCGATTGCTCACCACCTGCCGACTGACGCCCCATTAGTCCCTGAGCAGCGATCCCCCCACCCCCACTCCCCCCAGTTTATATACTGGGCATGACATCACATGGTATGGAATACCCCATTGGCCACTTTGGGTCAGCTGCCCTGGCTGTGTACCCTCCCAACTTCTTGTGCCCCTCCAGCCTTCTTGCTGCCTGGGCATAAGAAGCTGAAAAATCCTTGAGTTTAGACTAAACATTACTTAGTAACAACTGAAAACATCAGTGTTATCAACATTCTTCTCACACCAAACTCAGAAACATAGCACTGTACCAGCTACTAGGAAGACAATTAACCTATCCCAGCTGAAACCAGGACAGTAAGCTGGGAAAGATGCAACCTAAAGGGTGGTGCAGGAAAGGTCTACAACGTCCCGAGAGGCAGGGAGATAGGGAGTAGCAGTTGTTCACTCTCTTTTCCAAGAGATGACCAAGAGCCATCTGATGAAGTGAGAGCCATGCTACAAGCAAATTACAGGAGGTGGTATGCTTACAGCAGAGCAGACCTGTTGAAATCCTTGACAAAGTGTGTAGTAAATACAGCAGGTCTATATGGGGTCAGGAGGAGACTGTGAAAGTTCTCACAAGCCAGAACAGTGCTGGAGTTGGGGAGGGGAGGTATCATGTAAGTCTACTGCACTCCTAGGCTTTCTTCCCTGGGCATGCACTTATAGGCACCGTTACATACAGGATACTAGCCTAGATGTTTGAGCCAGTGCAGCTGTTCTTACATGATCAGTATTTTCCCACTTCTCCATTTATGATGACTCCAAAAATCAGGTAGGGACAGAGTTTGATAAATACAGTACAGTTCTCAAATCTTTTTTTAAGTGATAGAGAAAATTTATATCAAACAGGGAAACCAGCTGAAGAGCTTGAATTTTCTACTAAAAGCTCAAACTTCAGCCCTTGACTGCCACTGGAGCAGGAGTTCAAATCTAGTATGAAAACCAAACATACATAGATGGAATTATTGAATCTTTTCCTTCCTGTTTTGCAGCATGAACGGGACAGGCTGCAAGCACTTAAAGAAAAACTGGTATGGGAGATAAAACTTCTTCAGGAATCAGTCACAGCCTCCGAAACCCGAGCAAATGCAGCAACAGATAGGAATCACTCCCTTGAACAAGAACTCCAGACTACACTGTCTATCTTAAAAATTAAAAATGAGGAAGTGGAAACACAGTGGGAGAAAATCCAGATGCTACAGAAAGAAGCAGCAGAGGTAAAAGCTTTGCAGGAGAGTCTCACTCATATGACCGCCATCATGTCAGAGAGGGAGGGAGAAATGAAGTTATACCAGGAACAGATGATAATGCTGGAAAAGCAGAAAGAAATGTATAAAACTACTGTCAGTCAGGTTATTAAGGACATAACAGAGACAAAACAGAAGACAGAATCCCAGCAAGAACACATACAGGAGCTGGAGAAGCAGCAAGAAATGCTGAGGACTGCTGTCAGCAACATGAGCAAAGAGCTAGAAGGGAAGGACCAGGAGGTCAGATCCCAGCAAGAACTGATAGCAGAGCTGGAGAAGCACCAAGAAAAGCAGAAGACTAGTGTCAGCAAGGTGACCAAAGAGCTGGAGGAGAGGACCCAGGAGGTCAGATCCCAGCAAGAACAGATACGGGAGCTGGAGAAGCAGCAAGAAATGCTGAGGACTGCTGTCAGCAAGATGAGCGAAGAGCTGGAGGAGAGAGACCGGGAGATCCAATTCCAGGAGGGGAAAATAATGATTCTAGAACGAGACGGTGCATCACAAGTGAGAAATCTGCAGGTGGATCTTGATCATATGAAAGGAAACTTGAAGGAGAAGAATTTGGAGCTTCTGTCTCTGACCCAGCAGATCCAAGCGCTGGAAATGGAGAGAGAACAGGCGAAATCTCTGCACGCGAGCCTTGGACACCTGAGGGCAGTTCTTAAGGACAGAGAGAGCGAGTGTGATTCTCAAAGGGATCAGTTAAGACTCTTGCAGCAGTACAAGGAACAGCAAGAGGGCTACCTGCAAGAGCTTCGTGGTACACTGGAAAAGATGACCCTTTCTTTATCTGAAAAGGATCAAGAGCTTGAGTCGCAACAACAGCAAATCCGGGAAGCTGAGGAAGTCATGGAAATGCAGTTAAGGACTGTCCGTGACCAACTGGAGCAGACCTTAGGAACCTTAAAAGAAAAGGACAGACTCCTAGACATCCAAAAGCAACAGGCAAGGAGCTATGCGGAAAAAACAGAAGAACAGATGAATGTCTTGCACAGAGACTTAGAGTACACTACAGCAATACTGAAAGAAAAGGATTTAATGATTGAATCTCAGAAGGAACTGATTGAGACCTTCCAAAAAGAAGAGCAAGACTCTGGACAGCAGAAGGAAATTCTGCAGCAGCTTCAAGTGGCACTGAAGGAAAAAGAACAAGAAATGTTATCCCTTAGAAAGCAATGTGAGGCGTGGAAGGAAAAGGAGGAAAAGCGTGAAGCTGAGCAAACAAATCTCCAAGCAACAAAGCTGACTCTGAAAGAAAGAGAGGAAAAGATAGAGGTTCTGGAGGAAGCTCTCTCTAAGCTTCAACAGCAAAAGGAGGAGGCAGCGAGGCAGACCAAAGCCGTACAGCAAAAACTAGAATACGCTGAATCTTCTCTAGAAGCGAGAGATCAAGAGATAGTGTCTTTGCAAGAGCACGTCCAGGAGCTTCGAGAGCAGAAGGAGTTAGAAGGCAAGCAGGCCAAGAGTCTAGAGCAGGATCTAGACAAAATGAGCCAAATCTTGAAGGAGAACCATTTGGAGTTCCTCAGGCAGACAGAGCAAATGAACATGTTCCGGCTTCGTGAAGAAAGCACGAAAGTAGCACTAACATCATGCCAGCAGCAAGTGGATCTGCTTGAGCAAGCGGTGAGGAAGAGAGATGAAGACAACGAAACTCTCATGCAAAAACTCCAGCGCCAAGAAGAAGAACTGAAGACCTTGCAGAATCTCCAGCCTAGGCTAACCAAGAAGAATGAAGAGGTTAGGCATGGCAGAGAGCAAGAGAAGCTCCTGGAAGAAGCCTTGCATGAGAAGGAGCAAGAGACCAAGGCTGAAGGTGAACTAAAAGAGTTAGAAGAGGAAGTAAGAGCTCTTCGGGAAGATCTCCAGCATGTTCAGCCGACTCTGACAAAGAAGGATGAGGAGATCGAGAACCACAGAGACAGAGTCGGGTACTTAGAGCAGACTCTGACAGAGAGAGAACAAGAGCTTAGGAGGCAGAGTGAGCTCTTGAAACAATTAACATCAGCTTTGCGATGGAAGGATGGCGGGGAGACCCTGCAGAAACAAATCCAGAAACTCCAGAAATGGGAGGAAGAGGAAGCAGAGAAGCGGCGAGTTCTCCAGGAGAGAGACCGTTCCTTGCAAAGACAGAAGGAGCTAACGCAACAACTGGAGGATGAGCGGAAAGCCAACGGGGAAGAATTGGAGCGCACGATTGCTATTTTGAAGCAGACCGAGAGCAGAGAAGTCAAATGGAAAGAGAAGGCACAAGCACTGACTCTTGCCCTTACCAAGAGTGAAATGGCCAATGGGACTCTGAGGGAAGAAATAGCCATCCTGCAGAGCATGGTTTCGGAGAGGGACACGGACCGGTTTCATCATCAGGTAGGCAGTGTGACTGATCATCAGTCAACTAAAAAGTCTATAAAGGATTCTAATGATGATGCCCATAAAGATACGGGAATATATAGTCCCATAAATACATGACCTGCTTGGCCAGAGAAACTGCGGTTGTAGCCAGCAGGCTTGCCTGTCTGCGTAGCTCAAGGCATTCACCTGCTGAAGTGTTTTCTGTCAGCCCCCGAACTACTGAAAGAACTACGGAGCTTGCTGTTAGAGTTACCCCAAGCCCAGACGTTGGGGATGGGTAACTGGTTCTCTCCTGTGTAGGCAAGCTTAGCCAACGTGTCGTGGTTGGGGTTTGGCACGGAAAGGAAGGGGCACAGCTGACCAAACTAAGGGACTGACCTTAGCAGAATTTTGTAACGATGGTTGCACAGCAGCTACGCTGACGGTGCTTAGAGGATGCTTTCAGAGATGTCGATTTCGGAGGTACAGCTTTTCCAGTGTATTAAAAATAACGGCATTCGTACCGTTGCCTGATCAGGTGAAGGGCTTCATTGCGCATTCAGGATGTACTTGTGCTGCGGTCCAAAAGGCCGGAAGGCAAATCTGTGTGGATTTCCCCACGGCGATCGGGAGGAGGGCCCCTAGGAAGAAAGAGAGTGTGTTGTTTTGGCCCGTCAACCAGGAGGAGCAGAAGGGACTTGGCACTGTCCATTCCCGAGTCCGGTCACTCTCCCCGACTTGTCGATTCTGTCCCTCCTAACCTTTATGGGGCACCAGCTCACATAAACTCCTCTCTGTATACCCAGCAGGCTATTGCAGAAGGGGAGCAGCTATCGTGGCTCTCGGAGAAGAGACTCCTGTCACAGCAGCTGGAATGTCTGCAGCGAGCAGTTGCAAGGCTGGAACTGGAGAAGGCGGAGCTGAAGCAACTCAATGCTGAGCTCAGGAGGACTCTCGAGCAGGTAAAACAGGCTTTCACTGCCTCTGCAAAGCCTCACGGTCCTCTGGATCACAGCACATTTCCACAGACAGCACTTTGGAGTCCTCTGCTTGTTTCCTTCCCTCTCCCACTTCCCCCTGTGGACGCACGCTTTTGTATTTTCTCTCTCTTCTGGCACCCCGTTGCCTTCACAAATGCGCATTCGCTCCGGTCCCACCCTTCTTGCCCCAGTGTCCCCATACACGCACGTTTGACGCTCTTGTGTCAGGAACTGTTTCCTCTTGCTCTTTCTCTTCCATAGCCTACTTCGAGTGCTTTTTGCCCGCAGCATTCTCTGGGGCAGTTAACAGCCTCTGAGCAGAGCAGAAATCTCCTTGCCATGATGTCCAGAGCTCCTTTTGCTCCTTGTTTGGTGGCAGGTTTCTGTGACCCTTTCTCCTATCACCAACGTGCAGGTGGAACGTGAACGGAGGAGACTGAAGAGATATCACAGTGGTCGGTCGCTGCCAGATGCGTGCGGATTTTTGCTGTCTGACCAGCACAAGATGGCTGCTTCTAGACAGGTGAGAACAGAATCTTCCTTGGTGGGAGGAGGGTCTGGCCATACAGAGGAACAGTGGCAAATCCCAGTGGCAGCATCCCCCCAGTATAGACCTAAGAGAAGTGGAACGTAGACCATGGCCCTGGCCAAACTGGAGACCAAAAGGAAATCCTTGCATTTTCTTCGCAGGAGGAGTCTCACGCTCACTGCAGTCGTCGATTAGCTGAGTTGCAGAACCAGGTGAGGAGTAGGAAAGCTCTCGTCAAAAGCTGCCGTGGCTGTACTGAGGGGCACAGCTTTGCACGATGCTACAGCCCGAGTTTTGTTTGGCTGTCGGGAAGTGAGTACACCAGGCAGTGGAAATACCCAGTCAGTCAGACACATCTGTTGGCCATGGCCAAACAACATCATGCACCTAGGTCTAGTCTCTGGCTTGCCTAGAGGTCAGGCGTGGTGGGAGAGGGATTGGAGGAAATTCAGAGAACTGGCACTCGCCTGAATATGGAGAAGATTCTAAGGATGTTCCCCTTGAGTCTTACTCATCTTGTTGACGGCTTCCATTTTCCCTTGACTCCGTTAACGGTAGAGCTTGCACTCTATCAGAGCTCCAGGGATCTGAGGCAGCGCCAGAGCTTACAGCCTTCGGGCAACCATTAGTCTCCTATTGCTATGCTGCGCTAATCACGATCCCAGTATCGGACCGAGTCGGAGACCCAAGCGCAGCGTGGACGCTTGTTTTATCAGCGTAAGAATGTACATCCCAGCTCCTGAACCCTATCCCATCCCTTGACAGCGGTACTGGCAGTAGCAGCAGTCGCCAGGCTCCTCTTCCACGTGCTTTTAAGGGTCTGGTACGCCCTGGTCTCCCTGAGGAGGTGAATCTTCGCAGGAGTTCAGGGCAAAATGCCTGTAAGATTTATGCGAGTAAAGTACACGGTGCTCCGCTCTGGCAAGTGAGCCGAGCGTACCGCTGAAGCCATCAAGTTATACCTTAAGGGTGTTTTCACCAGGAAGCCTCAGCGCCTGAAGTTCTGTTGCTACAGATAACGGATTGAACCCCCTTCCCCCTGTGACGGTTGTGTCTGCCTGCACTGTGGACCTGCTCCAGCAGTTTGGCAGGAAAATGAAGGTGCTCTGCTCAAAGAATCGTCCTCAGCTGGCTAGTTGGGGCACTCCTCTGGGTCTGGGAAACAGCGGAACTGGAACGTGATCTCCCCCTTCCTGGGAGATGCTCTTAGCAGCAGATGGCCACTTCTCCCACGCATACCTCTGGGTTACCTACCAAAGCGTGGGAGGCTTCCAAGCCCCGTTGCACAAAGGTGCCCTTATTATTTCAGAGAGAAGGTCAGAGCTGTCCCTCTCTTCAGGGGTGGTGTTCCCTAGCCTACGCATATCGTCTGCTGTGAAGTCCCTCCGACGTCTTGCTTTCCGTGCGCGCTACCGGCTTCTAATTCGGCACCTCGCGTTCCCCTTCCAGAGCTGGCTGCCCGAGTTTCCCCCCTAGTCTGCTCTAGATGCTTAGCAGATTAGGGACCCTCTTTTTGTCTGGTTTGGCTTTACGTTGGCAGACCTTGGTATCGTAATTCGAACGGAGCAGGTTCCATAAGCCATAAAACTCCTTTAGGAATTGCTTCTGTTATGTGAGTTCATTTGCCAAGAAAGAATATTTTCGTACTCCTAGCTCGAGGTTGGGGATGGCATTCCCACGTGGGACAGAGCCCTTGGCAAAGCACATGTCACTTTGAAAACAGAGGAGAACCTCTGGCCTGAGCTGTTCTCCCCGAAACAGCAAAGCACCGAGCGCTGCTCCCAGTGCTGGCATCTCCTCCGCTCCAAAGCAGGCAGAGGGCAACTCTGTGCCAGAGCTGCTGTGGCTGCGCTGCCCTGCAATGCTGACAGGAGGTGAGAGCAGCTGGGTCTCTCCCACCAAAAAGCCCAGCAGGCACAACCCGCTGTTGCCAGGAAGTAATAAGAGTTTGAGGATTTTGAAGGCCTCAGCAGTCCTTTAAGGCTCCTTTGCCCCCCGGGCTGTGTTCATCAGATTATGCTCTGCTCATTCGTGAAATGCTCTGAAGTTAGGAAGAGTGAGAGTTTTCTCCCGTTTCATGTGCTAGCTGTCAGGTTTCTAAAGTAGATCGTAACAGAACGGTTCTTCACTACCTTGTGTAAGCAGCAGTCCTCCTGCTGAGGAGAAAGCAGGTGGAACTAAGGTGGCAGCAGCCCAAATCTCTCCTTTGAAAAAAAGGGTTGGGTTACGAAATCCTGTAGAAACCTCTCTCTTTAATATGCATGTCACGTCTCGGTGTTGTGCCTTGTGAATGGTATGCCAGAAAGAAACTCGGAATTGCCGGTAATCTGAGCTCAGTTCAGGGTGGCTCTGGCAACCTCTTAGTTCCCATTCCACAAGGACAACGTGTTTGTCAGGGCTGGAGTTGGAGGGTGCGTCTTCCCTGACGGCCGGATCTGTGGAGCTACGGATGGTCCTAAGAGCGTGGGCTTGTCTGAGCTCGGCCTTTTGCCTCTTTCAGGTGTCCCTTCTGCAGACGCAGCTGGCACAAGAACGAAAATACAAGCAGGACTATATCGAGCGCTGTGCCAAGACCAGCCAGGAGCTGTCAGACCTTCACCAAGAGCTGTCTCGCTCCTTAGCAGCTGTGGTCAGGGAGCCGAAAGCTGCTGTTCTGGA